CATGATGATCATGAACTCCTTGGTGAGCGACACCTTCGACCGAATAGTCTCCGAGGCTGGGCGACTTTGCAAGTATAGCAATAAAGGAACTCTGTCTAGCCGCGAGATTCAGACTGCGATCCGCCTGGTTCTTCCAGGTGAACTCGCTAAGCACGCTGTTAGCGAGGGAACCAAAGCAGTGACCAAGTTCACTTCCGCCTAAGGTCCGCTGGCAGTTGTGACCATTTCAAGGCGTTTCTCAACGCCATCTTTCTAACCGTGTGCAGGAGTTTGTCGTTTCTCAATCAGGTGTTTTTCGCTGTTTTACCATATTTGTTTCAGAACATGCATTCGGTAGTTTCTTCGAAGACTCGGGTTCGTTAAGCACTCTAACGTCAATTAGCATTCCGCGATGACTGTCAAAACTAGCATTAAATCTGGAGCTCATCCCAACTATTCTGCTATGGTCAAGCAGGCCCTCACCACATGCAAGGGGTTCCAGAAAATGAGTCGCCAGGCCATACTCAGCTTCATTAAGCAAAACTTTGGTGTCGAGAACAAGGCTGCTTTGAACAAGGCTCTCAAAGCTCTCGTAGATTCTGGCCATGTCTCTCAAGCGAAGGCGTCATACAAGCTTGCTGCTGGGCAGAGGGTTGCCGCGAAGAAACCCGCGGTTGCGAAGAAATCCAAACCAACAACTTTGAAAAAGAAGGCTTCCACGAAGAAAGCCTCTACTAAAAAGACCACCACGAAGAAGACCACCACCAAGAAGACCACCACGAAGAAGACCGCTAGAAAGCCGGCCGCTCCGAAGACGAAAAAAACCGCAGGCACCAAGAAGGCTTCTATCCGTTCGAAGGCATCCGCGAAGAAGCCGGCGTCCAAGAAAATCAAGAAGGCGGCGACGAAGAAGCCTGCTGCCAAGCGGTCGGCGAAGTAATTTCCACTGTTTCGGCAGAACCTCTTTGCAGATGACCAATATTTACAAGGCGTTATTTGGCGCCATCAAAATCAGCAGCATAAGTTTCTTTTCACGAGGAGAAGAGCACATATTTTCTGAGACAGAGCGTTTTGTCACTCTTTTAATCAGAAAATGTGCCCCATCATGGCAGACTGCTTATCCCCTCGTACGAAATAAGCAGTAGCAAACAGCAGTAATCTTCTCAAACAAAATATGTCTGGTAGAGGAAAAGGCGGTAAAGGTCTCGGAAAGGGTGGTGCTAAGCGCCATCGCAAAGTCTTGCGCGACAATATCCAGGGAATCACAAAGCCTGCGATTCGCAGACTTGCTCGTCGTGGTGGTGTGAAGCGTATCTCTGGCCTCATTTACGAGAGACCAGGGGCGTTCTCACGTCTTCCTGGAGAGTGTCATCAAGGA